GTTTGTCTAACGGCATGTCCAGCATTCTAACTTGGCATCTTTGCATTCATTCTTCTATGCCCCAAGTATACTGTCAAGTGTGGTCAAAGCTGGGGGCTCCCTCCTTCCTTTTTGAGTTCCTTTCTTTCCTTGGCTTTAGGGACACAGGAACCTCCTGGTTTTCCTCCTTCCTCACTGCTCTGTCTCCCTTGCGGATTCCCCTCCCCCTCCCTTGGACCTCCTCTGACCTCCACTTGCTCCCGCAGAGGCCTCAGCCAGTCCTTGCTTTAAACACCACCCGCGTGCTGGTCAGAGCGGCCCACCCATCCCCGGGGCGCCCCAGATCTGCCCGCTACCACCCTGCAGCCTCCACATGCTCACGGCAAGTCTCACTCCCACGGAGCTCCTCACGGATCCTCCTCATCTCCACTCACTCCCCTCTCCCTATCCTGCTTTATTTGTTCTCAAAGCACTTTTCCCTACCTGACACGCACTACATAAATTTATTGTACTGATAGTTGCACTTGAAAAGGGAAGGCTGATAGGAAGGCCACCTTGAGCTCTGTGTTTGGAGGGGAGGGAAGAGGAAATTCTTTAACCCCCTGGCTGAAGCTGACAAGGTAGCCAGGAGTGACCCGTGACCTAGTGTATGTCTGTGCCGCCCCACACAGTAGTACTTATTGCTAAGTAAGATTACAACGGAAGTCGTGCCAATGCTAGTACTAATCCCTTATAATCCAGAGAGCAAATGTTTGTTTGGGCCTAACTCTTGAAGACCTACCAGGCACCTGACACTGGAGTTCCGGAGGCAGGGTGAAGGGCGGTTTCCCAGCCTGTGGACCTGTGATTATTTACAGGCTGCAGGGCCACGCCTCCCCCAGGGAGACAGTGTGAAATGCTGAGACCAGCTTCCCCCATTCCAGGGACTGGAGGTAGGGATCTGCTTCCTTACCCACTCAATTCTCCTTGGGGGGCTTTTGTAAAATAGTGGTGCCTACGCCCCACCCCAGAAAGTGTAGTTTGTCCTGGGATGGGGCCTGGACACTGGGGTTGTTGACAATTTCCCAGGAGACTCATTTGCAGCCAGGATGGAGAACCCAGCATCGGAGGCTTGAGAGATGCTGGGTTGCTGATTGTCAAGGCTCAGGGATAGTCAAGTGTTCAGAAAACGTCCTCTGGTGAGAACCTGTGACCCCTCTTCCCACAAGCCAGGCTCCCATGTCTGCCACAGTGCACACGTAGACCCTGGAGTTGGGCCAGCATGGGGGTTAGTTAGGACAGACCTGAGTCCCCTCCCCCAGCATGTGGCTTTGGGAGACTGCGGAGAGTAGGCCCTGGAGGTCCCGGAGGCCGCCTCATGCTTGGCCTCCAGGCAGAACCTCTGGAGCCCAGGGCTCTCCTGCCTCCTTCCCAGCCCCAAGGAGCTCCCAGGGCCCTCTTAGGCAGAGGCCGTTAGCTGGTACCAGGCCTCCCCAGCACCAGGCCTCCCTCTTGACTTGCCCTTGAGTCCCATCCCCAGCCTAGTCCCACCTTCCAGGCCTCCAGTCTTCCCTGCCTGCTGAGGACAGAGAAGATGGACCAACCCCAGTCTCCCTTCAGGATTTCATGCATGAGGTACCACAGCCCTCCCTCTTGAGCTTCTCTGTCAGAGCAAAGTCCCCTGAAAGGTCTGTGTAGCCTGCCCGAGACTGACTGTCCTCGTGGGAAGCAGTGGGGAGGAAGCCCCCACTATTCCTCTGTGTTCAGTAACGAGGCAGAACAGCCAGCCTCCTGTCCTCCTACCCCTCCTCTCTGGCTGAGACAACCATCCCAGGGTCATCAAGCTGGCTAGAAGAAGGCTGGAACTCTGGTGTCCTAGGCTGGGACACATGCCCCCAGGGCAGGGAGTTTTCCTCCTCCTTGCCACAGGCTATAGACCTAACTGGCCTTCGCTAGAGGGTGCTTCTTATTCTCTCCTGGGGGCCTCACCTGAAATCTTCATCTTGTCAAATCTGACTTCTAAAGTGGCCAACAGCCCGCTCTCAGGGCCTAGCGCTCATCCACGGGCTTCTGTTGCCCAGGGGAGACTGTCCCAGACGCTTCCCAGGTAGTGCACAGACCAGAAAGTTCTCCTTTGTTTCTCAGGGAGCTCTCAGGGTCTCCACAGCAGAAAGAATGAGGCAGATACACTTCCTATCTCTCCAGCAGACCACGCAGCTCTCGAGAGGCCTTCCCTTGTGAGGACAGGGGCCACCAAGGGCCTCAGGGGTGAGAGGGTCCCAGAAGGGGCAGCTCTGATCTCAGGGTCAGAGCCAGGAAAGTGTGGTGCTCCAGCCCAGTGAGCCCGGTGAGCTTGGGAGGCTCATCCCTTGTAGGTGGAGGGGAGCCCAGCTGGGGGGTCCAGAGGCAGAGGCACAGGCCAGCAGAGGTCAGGAGGACTGTTTATTCAAGGCACGGTCACAGCATTAATAACAAGAAGGTTCAGCATTCTGGCACATTCCTTTAGTGGTGGCCAAGGGAAGTCCATACCCCTCACCTGGGTCCCCAGAGGATGCAATGCTGCTGATAGGCACTTTGCTTCCAGAAGCGTCCGAGAAAGAGGCAGGCAGGCATGGAGCTGCTCTAGGCCCAGTGGGGCACTTCTTGAAGGCTCTAGGCAGTAGTGGGTCCCTCACCCAAGAAAGCTCCCTCCAGAGTGGGTCAGGTCTGAGAGGGGGTGCTTCAGTAGACAGACAGGGGAGGGGCAGTTGGGAAGGACCAGTGAGGTAGGTGGAGGCCAGTGCATGAGGCAGGTGTGGGCTGAGAGCAACTGGGGGGGAGGTGACTGGATGTGAGGTGTCAGGAGCCAGAACATGCCCATGCCCCACACAGTGACCAAGGGTGGTTGAGCAGCTGTGGTGGGGCCTTGCCAGTTGCCCTGGGTCTCCAGGAAGGGTACAGAAGTGAGTGGACTCTGGAACTTTCCATACATTCTCACTGCCTTCTCAGAACCAGTCAGCATTTGACCCAAATTCTGAGGGGAAAGGCCCCAGACCTGGGCCCTTTCATCTGCTAGGTCCCTTTGCATATGCAGCTTCCACAGGCTGCCAGGTGGGCAGGGGAGGGGAGAGGAGGGACGGTGGCAGAAGCAGCAGGAACAGCCCAGCTGGTACGCAGAGACTAGAGGTAGGTGCCAGCAAGTAGTGCCCGGTGCAGGTGAGCCCGCAGGCCAGCTCCTGGCAGGACTCCTGCCATCCTCACACACTGGGGGTCGGGCAGCACCTGGAGCTCCCTGCTGGGGCCCTGACCACCCTCCTCTGGAAAGGACTGTCCCCTGGTGGCTGGTGAAATGCTAGGGGGAGGGGGCCCTGCGGGACCTTGGCTCATGAGGGACTGGCTGGGTATAATTTCTTCCTTTTCCTAGCTGGACAAGGACAGGGAGACACTGCCTCCTCCCTAGCAGACTTGAGCTCTCTGGAAAGATCCCTCAAGCCAAAGTAGGGGCCAAGGAGGATCTGTGGGGTGAAGCTTGAAACTTCTGGAGCTGGGATGTAGGCAAGGATGAAGCAAGAACAAGGTCCAGGTGATCTGAGGTCAGGGGCACCCATGGGCCTGGGACCCAGTGAAAGTACCTAGGTGAGGGAGGCTTGGGGCCCACTTTCAGCAGGTTGGCTGCAGGGACCCTGACCTGTGGAGGAAGTTCAAGAGAGCTCTAGAGCATGCAGACCCCATTCGACTTGGCTTGTCTTGGTCCACTGAGGCCCCAGCTGACCCTTTTCTGTGTCTGCCCTGCTGGGCTGCCTGGTAGTCCTGATGGGGGCCTGTCCCCAGAGGCAGAGGTCTGCACCCCCCTGCCTGGGGCAAAGGTGCTAGGTGTCCCCAGAATTGTTTTTGCTCAGAATTTGGCTCCAGGTCTCAGGAGGTGGCAGATCTGGGAGGGCAGCCTTACTCTGCAGCCCCACCCCAACCCCACCCTTCACTGGGCATCCGCAGTGTCATAGCCAGGACCACCTTGGAGACCACTTGAGTGCTCTTCAGTCCAAGAGCAGAGGCAGGGTCCTACCTGGAGGGCAGGGAATGGCCAGTGCCTCCAGTTTGAAGCATGGGCTCCTTACCCTAAGCTGCTGCCCACCTTGGCCACACTGGGGGCCCAGGCACTCAGGTGGATATGAGGCAGGAGCAGCTCTCAGTGGCTACATCCTTGGCCTTAGGGGTTCCTCTGATTAGGCCCTGGGGCTTGGGTAGGTGTATCTGTTTTCCCATCACCCAGCATTTTGGGAGAAGACCTCCCCAACCTCCTGTGAATTCTGCCTCTGCCCCTCCCACCTTATAGTAACAGCCAAGGTTTGCCTTCATCAAAACACACACAGGTCCCATTTAATGAGCCCCGAGTGATCATGTCCCAGCTACCCTTACAGGAATAGAGAGGAGAAGGGGACATCTGTCTCAGGGCAGAAGAATAGGAAGGGCCTCAGTCACCTTCTCTCGAGTCTTGGGTCTCAGCTGCCCCTTGCTCCGATGGGTGCAGAAACTCTCTCTTCACAGAACCCCATGCAGGGAAACCTGGATGAGGTGGCCGTCTGTGTCTTGTCAATGAGGCCCAGCACACATACCTTTGCTTCCTCACACGCAGGGGTGGCGGTGGGTAGGAGCAGGAGCAGCAGCTCCTTGGCAGGGCAGCTGGTCAAAGGGTGGGAAGACCCCGGAGTCTTCAGTGGGCTTCTTTTTGCCTCTTCCCGCATGCACACATTTCTCCATCTTGACCCCAGGAAGGACCCCCGCCGTCAGTGTCTGTGTTCAGGGCTTCGGCCACCTCTCCCAAGGCGTGGTGGCTGCCTGTATCTTCTATCCTGTCCTGGGGTCCCTGTGCACTGCCCAGCAACTCCCACTGTGTCTGGTCAGCAGGCACCCAATGGCCAGGTTGGCAGGCGTCCCGTTAGGTCTTTCCGAAGTCTGCAGGAAGTAGTGGGGAGGTCCAGGCTGCCCTTTTGCCTTCCCCCGCCTGGCCCTCCCCTGGCTGACACTCCTGGCTGGAGTCGCCGTGGGGAGGCCTCGGGTCCTGGTTAGTGGTACTGGCTCTGGCCCTCCAGTTCCAGGCCTTCCTGGAACTGGGCCGTGTTCAGCTCCCCCGAAAAGCCCCTCACACTGCTCCCCTCGTCTCCCTCTTCCGGCGCTCTGCTCATGGTGCCGTAGGTGTGCCGGGCAGGGGAAGAGGCTGGTGTCAGGTTCATCTCCGGCTCTTGCAGCACTGTGGCCACATACAGCTGCTCAGGACAGAGAGGGGAGATCGGGGTGAGGTCACATTGGGGACTTGGCCCTGGACATTCCCTTTCCCCTTAAGCACTACTCCCAGAGCCTCTGCCCCGCCCCCCAAGCCATGCATCCTTCTTCACCAGCAGCCCAAGTCCAGCCATCCCCCTGCCCAGTTGCCCTTGGTCATTTAATGAGTATCCACGAGCTCCCAGGGCTGGTTAGTGCAGATCTCCTAACTCCTAGTCCGCTGTTCCTTCAACACCTGTGCCATTCATTCTCGGTTCCAGCTCAGGCTAAACCCAGGGGTAGATAACAATAGGTTCCCCTATGCTGGGGTCTGGAGAGCCCCCCCCCCACTTCCTGAGCTAGTGCAATTTCTAACACAGCTTCAAAGGAGCATCCACAACTCCCTCGGGCTGTCATTAGTTGGCCTGTGAATCAGGATTTGAAACTGAGACTGCTATCTGAGGCCCTGGTCATGCAACCTCTCAAATCCAGGAAAAACTTAGGAAGTACAGGGATATTGCTGTTTGTCATCCTTTGAAATGACTTTTAAACCAACTCCTTATTTTGAAAATAGGTAATTATGGGATGGAGTTAAACCTTTCCTGCAGGAATTCCTTTCAGGGAAACCAAAAAGCCCTCGTAGATGAGAGCACAATTTTTCTACAGAAGAATCTAGACATTTGCATAATGCCAAAGTAAACCCATAGTCATATGACCTTTGGGTGGTAAGTGGGAAAATTGTAACTGAACAATGGAAAAGCCAGCTGTCATCCCTCTAATCAGGGGGTCATGTTAGCATCATTAATGGGAATAAATGGGACATTATGTATTTCCCAGTGTGAGGCACAGCACTACCTGTAATGTGGTCTAGCACCTAATATTGAACTTGAATCTATCAAGCCTTTGGATCTAACTTCTAGTTTTTAGGAAATATAGGAGACTGGAATCTGCTATAAGACGTCATGAAGAAACAGTCAGAAAAACCCAGAAGGTAGGACATTCTGCAGGACGACTGGCTCGGTCTCTCCAACAAGCATTAAAAAGAGGCGGTGCTAGAATTAAAGGGACATGCACAGGTGCCGGGTTAATGGGGCACAGAGAATGGATTGGACCTTGTTTTGGACAAGCTGTAAAAGGTATTTCTGGAATGCTTAGGACAATTTGAATATGGACCTACTGAGTATTTGAAAAGGTAAAAATTTATATGGAAAGATGGAGATTGTTAAAGAAAGTGCAGGTTATAAATCAGTATGCATATTATTTCATTTTAGCAAAACTTTTATATATGGAAGAATAAAACTTAGGTCATCTCTGGGTGGTGAAAATATGGACTTTTTCTTTTCTTTTTTTTGCTTATCTGTTTTCCCCCATAACACCTACAACATTCATATATCACTGTTGTAATAATGAAAGATTTAAAAAATCAATTCCAGTAATTTTTATTTTAAGCTCAGGCTTTAGAGTCAGACCTGGTTCAAACTTTGTTCTGCCACTTCCCTGCTTAGTAGCATCCTGGTGTCTAAATTAATTGATCTTTTTGAGCCTCAGTTTCCCCATCTGTACAATGGGGATAAAAACCCTTACTGTGTGGGTTTATCATAAAGATCGAGAGTGAGAATGGCGGAGTTCTGTGCACTGGGGTGCGCGTGTCCAGCACGGGTGTGTCTGCACTTTCACCTGCTCTGCCACGACTAAAGAGCCTGTTCTCCACCGAGCCTTGGGGCCCACTCTGCATTTCCACCAGGCTGTCTTCCTTTCCCCAAATGTTCCCAATTGTCTCTTCCAGGCATTTGCACAGGCTGATCCTCTTCCTTGAATGCTCTTCCCCCACACACTATTCCACTTGGCAACCTCGACTCCCATTCCTGGAGTTGGATTACATGTTCCCTCCTCCAGGAAGCCTTCCCTGAGTGCCCTCTTCAGTGTTCCTCCAAGGCACCTGGGCTTTGGCATTGGTGGCCTTGTATCTATACTTGTGGCTGGGATGTGGGCGAGTGCTCATGCCTCTGTACAACGAGCCACTGTGTGGAAGCCAATGCCCAGCCTGCTGGACCCCTGCACTCTGAGTCTAGCCTCATCTCTTCGCATGTGGATGGGCTCACTCACATGGTGCGCCCCGGCCCGACCATTCCATCCAGACCTCCAGTAGCTCCTTGTAGCTCTGTCTGCGCACCTGTGCCCTTGGAGGCAGCCTTCGGTCCTAAGGCCAAGCCCCAGCATGTCCCTGCGTCTACACGACTGTGCTTGCTGTGGCTGGGGTCTCCCTGACCTTTCTCTTCCTCTCTGAGCTCCTTCTAGAGAATGTCAGGTTAAAGTTGGATCTTCTATCTTCCCTGCTCTTCAGCCAGGGCCACGGCAGGCATTGGACCTGGGCCAAGTCCTGCTGCGTCAGAGGAGGGAGCCCAGGGAGGGGGGCCCTTCTCCTCCCCAATACTCAGGGCAGGCACTAAATGCTGGTGCCCCCACAATGCCACTGGAGTAGCCCCCCCTCTAGGCACCCCCCTCTGACCTGTCCCACAGGGTGAAGGCACTGACTCACAAGGGAGGTGGGCGTGGAGGAGGTGCTGCTTGGCTCCATGTCAAACACGGTCTCCATCTCCTCCTCAGGCTGCAGCAGTGGGGAGAAACGGGCAGGGTCACAGAATGGGGGTATCTGCCCTTTGCCCACTCCCTCCCCACATTCAGGGGAGCCTAGGCCCTGCACCTGGGCCTGTTGCTCCCTTTGAACTCAACTGATCTTCTGTTTTTCCAGGCCTGCAGCCCAGCTGGCAGAGCTGAGGCCAGGGGGACAGAGAGGTGACTGGGATGCTAGGGCGACCCTTCCGGAATGTTCCATTCTCAAGGACCATAGTGGGAGGAAGTAAGCAGATTTGGGCTTCAGAGATGATCCTGCTTTGAGTCTAGGAAATGCCTTGATTTCAACTCTCTCTTCTTTCCCCCTGGGATTTCCCCTCTCCATCTGGAACGAGTCCTAAACCACTCTGGTCTAGGTCCCCTGCCACCTCTCTTCTCCAGAGTGGGCACTTGGACAACATAATCATGTGGCCTTGTTGTATTGGGAAGACAGAGCCAGAGGTGTCATTCACTCTGCTCCTTCACTAGCATGGCATTCGGGCCAGGCAGGGAGGGCAGTGAGGGCCTGTGCCCACGGTCCCAGAGATGGCAGATCCACTAGAAGCGAGAGGTTCCTCTTCCAAGAGGCTCCCTCCTCAGACTCTGCTGGTGCCAGCACTTCAGATCAGCTTACTTTCTTTTCCTTATATAAATTCATTTAAAAAGGAAATGCTTCACTAGTATAAACAGAAAACTTGTGTCAGTTGCTATAAGCAGAAAAACAAATAAATAGGAACCAATAGAAAAATAAATGTGTAACCATGAAAAATAATGTTTGAGTCCCCTGGAAATCATTCCAGTATGCGTACACAGACACCTCACTTTGGGACATGCTGGTCAAGAGCGCATAGTGTTGCTGGCATGGCTCTCGGTGGGCATGGATTGGCTCCCTTCTCTAGGCTGGGCCCCATTGGCAAAGGTGTCGTGGGGCCCAGAGAACCAGGTTCCCTCCAGACAGCCTCAAGGTCAATATGCTGGAACTCCTAAAAGTGATGACTATCCCCCCTTCCCCAGGCCACTGTCAACTCCCCCATCCCTTAAAATGGTGGTCAGCTCAGTGGCTGAACAGGCTCACATTGTAGGAGGGGTGGGCCAGAAGCCTGCTGTTGGGAGAAGGTGTCAGAGGAGAGGACAGCTGTCTGCTAAATATCCCTCCCCTATGAGGGGAGCAGTGTCTGGGCCAGTGCAAGGGGACCCCCCCCCCGCACACACACATTGAGTTTGTACAGCCCCTAATCAGGGAGAAAGGCAAGAATCTTTCATCTATGTGGCACTGTGGGTGCCCAGGTCAGAAGGCTATCCTAGAACTCTGTCCCTGGGGGCTTGGGAGAACCAGTGGAGGAAAAGCAGCCTGGCAACTCACCTCGTAGTCACGTGCCCTCCGAAGCCTCCCTATAAAAGTGCCCAGGAAGGCAATTATCATGGAGAAGATCAGAGCGGTGAGGGAGAAGATGGTGATGCTGTGGAGTGAACCTGCCAAGACAAAAAGGGGCTTGAGGACCAGAGCTGTGGGCAGCAGTCTGCCAGCTGGGATGTTACCCAGACTGACAGGTGCCTAGGGCCCACCTCAGCACCTCTGGAGCAGAGAGGCCCTTGCCCAATTCTCTTCCTAACAACTGGGATCAATGGGCCTGACACAATGACATCCTCCCTTGTTGCTATTTGACCAGTTTAGAATTTGGCATCTTGTGGATTCCATGAAAAAAAAAAAATTAATTGACTTAAGTATCCACTTAAGGGCCCATTAAACATGTTCTTCTCCACCCATCAGCTACCTGCCATATCATAGTCCCTGGGAAGTGTCTCTGAGTTATTCATTTGTGCCACTGCCCCCAAATACAATCTCTGACCCACACCTTTCCTTGTGAGCCCTATCCAAGTACACATGCACAGTGATCTGTGCTAATGGCACTGAGAAGCAATCCAGAATGCCAAAGTCATTTATGTTGCTCTGGCAGTGTGGCTCATTTGGTTGGAGCATCACCCCATGCACCAAAAGGCTGTGGGTTCGATCCCAGGTGGGGTGTATGCGGGAGGCAACCGATTGATGTTCCTCTCTCCTTTCCTCTCTCTCAAATCAATTTTAAAAAAGAGAATTCTTTATTAAAAAAAATATAAATAAATAAATAAAAGTCATTTATGTTTTGATTGGGGTTATTTGGCAACTATTTTAGGGTAGCCGTTTTCTAACTAGGCAAATATTAAAAATTAGTCTTTACATCATTACTGCATAACAATGTTTATAATCATGTTTTTTATTATAGCAAAAAATGATAAATAGCACCGATATCCAACAATGGAGAACTGACTAAAACAGAGTTTAGTGCAGTCAGCAAAAGGCATGTGCTCAAACAGTGTTTTAATAACACAGGACATTGCTTAGAACATAATGTTCAGTGAAGAAAGTCAGGATACAGGACTGAATGTTATAAAGTGAATTTCACAATTTGGAAAAGCAGCAATAAATCAATGAACTCCCTCCTGCTTTGCCCCGTCCCTCCACCCCCCGAAAAACACGTGTGTGGAATGAGGTCTGGGAGCAGCCAACCACAGGCTTCAGGGGATTCCAATTTTGATAATAAACATGTAGTCCTTCATACTTAGAAAAAAGCGTTATAAAACTGAAATCTGTGAGGTGGCAGGAGAAGGCTGGGGCCTATGAAATTGGAGGTGACAACAGATAATGCTCAGGGTGACTGAGAGCTGAGTGTTTACAGATGCCATGGTGACAGGGGAGGAAGAACACATGGACTCTCCCTTTTCCATGCTACTGAGAAGGTTAAGGTCAAGCATCTCTGAGGGAAGGCTAGTGTCGGGGGAGGCAGAAAACAGTATGGGCCTCGAGGAGGAAGGCGGATGGGATCAGTGTGAGCTTCTTGCCTCAGGGGATTTTCAGTATCTGGCCCGTGGGAACAGGGACAGCAGCATTGTGGAGCCAAGAGTAGGGAAAAAGCTGGCTGCAGGGGCAGACTCAGAATCCTCCTCTGGGTTTTTGGCAACTCACAAGACCAGGCATTTTGTAGGATCCCAGAGGGAATGTCATGGGAATGGAGCCTGAGAGCTAATATCTTATTTCCTGCCAGCCCTGAGTTAGAATGAAGGAACATCATGTTTCTTGCCCTGAGGCTGGTCAACCAAAATGTATATGATTTTTTTAAATTGATTTCAGAGAGAGGAAGGAAGAGGGAGAGAGAGAGAGAAACATCAGTGATGAGAGTCATTGATCGGCTGCCTCCTGCACGCCCCCTGCTGGGGATCGAGCCCACAACCCAGGCATGTGCCCTGACCGGGAATCGAACTGTGACCTCCTGGTTCATGGGTCAACCACTGAGCCATGATGGCTGGGGCCAAAAAGTATAGGATTTGGATGGCGCTGGCCTAAGCCCTCCCTTCTCTTCAAAGGGCTCTAAAAGGAGCTCCCGAGGCCTAGAGAAGCCACTGGGCTCAGTCGCGCTCAATGAGCAGAGCCGTGTCCTCTTGGCCTTTCCTGCTCTAGCAGAGCTGGGGGGGGTTGTGGAGCAGCAGGGCAGGCAGTGGTAAAACGGCCCGGCAGGCCTGGTACCTACCTAATCGTAGGATGGAGAAGAAGAACATCCAGAACAGACCCAGCAGCGGCGTGAAGATGGCCTGATTTACGGCGGCCATGTGGATCTGCTCGTTGAGTTTGGTGGGCGCGTAGGAGTAGAACATGTTGTAGCGGTCTGTGATGTGCTTCATGCACAGGTACAGCAGCCCTGGGGCCGGAAGATGAAGCCACACTCAGTGGCTGCTCCAGTCGGGGCCTGTGCTATCCCCAAACCCCCACACAACTGAGAAGTCAGATTCAGCGTCTGTCAGAGCAGCAAGGGCCTAGGACAGGCGGTGGCAACCCCATGGTGCCAACCTCTGGAACTAGCATCTTCCCTCGAGCCCCAGAGCCTCCCAACCTGCCCACAGGCCGTCCCAGGTTTCCTCCTGCTCCAGGACGTGGCCTGATGCTGTGGGGCTCAACTGCTCCTTCCAGTCTGAAGGTGCGCAGCGCCGGGGGTGCCTCTGGGATGACTCACCGAAGGGGACAATGACAGGGCAGGTGATGCTGTACGCCATCACCACACTGAAGACGTTCATCATCCATGCGTACTCACGCCCATACTGGAACTCTATGGCCTGGTCCTAGGGCAGAAAACAGGAGTCACTTGAAGGTGGCCTGGTTCCTTTGGCTTGGCTGCTCCTGTGGCTCCTTATCTGTCTTCTGGGAGCTGGTTGGCAGCCGGCCTTTCAACCTTGGAGTCCAAGAAGCAAGCCCCCCCCATGCCTCTCACACTTGGGGCTTCCAGTAGGCCTCCTTCCTGACACCCTCCCAAGGGACACTCTGAGGGCTGTGCTTAGGGAAGAGCCTGGCCCTCACCCTTCTGATGTGGACTCTCTCTGGCTCCGACTTGGAGAAGAAGAGGCGGGTGCTGTACAAGCAGAGTGACCCCAGGCGTAAGAGCTCCATGCCCGTGCCAAGCAAAGATGCTGTGATCACGTAGTTGATGAAGAAAGCACCGTTGTCTGGCAGGAACACACACCTGGGCATGGCGAGAGCGGGAGACAGCAGTGGAAGCCAGGGGAGAGGGAAAGGGCAGAGGTGTTGAGAGAGGGGAGGAGAGAGCGAAGAAAAGAGCCAAGGGAATGGGGATTACATGTTTGAATATTGGGATTCTCAATGTTTATAGCCCTAAAAATAAAAAAATATATATCAAAATTGGCTGGATGTCCAACATGACCTGTCTATTGTCTTATCAAGAGGGGGAGAGTAAGTTTTATATATGTGCTCCAAGCCCAATTTAACAAGGGCCCTTTAGAGCAGGGACAGGGATGGTCTACATAAAGTGTGGATATGTTATGAGATACATGTGCTGGCTTTATCTAAAGCAAGCTGTTTGACCTGGACCCACAAACCCTGGGGAGTCCATGAGTAGAATTTGGTGGGGATCTGTGACCTTGAATGGGGAAAAATTACATCTTTATTTCCACTAACCGCCAACTACAATGTAGCATTTCCTTCCATTAAGAACGTGAGCCAACAACTGCAGCAATGTCAGCCCTGGTTGTGGGTCTGTCACCCACTGAAATCAGATATTTTCATATCACACTGCCCGCAGTCATTGCTGACATCTTACAGTATCATTTGTGCTCATCACGACTTCAAAATGACGCTAGTTACCCCACATGCCACTATGCTAATGCATGACTGAAAAGTTCCTCTCTGCAGACCCGCATCTGATGTAGTTGGCCAACTTCAACTAGGAGTCAAGCAGACACCTAATGGCCAAGCTGCCTGTTCTCACAGAGGTGGCCCAGGCAGCTCTTGCTTTCCAGGGTCCCCATCTACACAATTCTGTCAACTTTTTTGAAAAGAGAAATCTGGGAGCCCTGGGCATATTTCAGAGCTCCTCCCAAAGCTGTACTTTCTTGATGGCATCAGAGTTGTCATGGACTCCCAATGCTCTTCTTTCTGATCTGTAAACTGTATTCAAGATATTAAATAGCCAAAGATGAACTCATTCATCTTGGACAAAAACACACAACATATTGCAATTATAGTTTGCAGAAAGTGCAGAAACCTTGGAGAATTCTGGTGCTTGCTCTACAGAGGAAGCTATGGAAGCTTGCGTGTCATTTGCAACATTACATCTTTGAAACTTGGGATTTTCAACGTTTATAACCTTAAAAATAAAATAATTGAAATTGGTTGGATGTCCAACACAACCTGCCTGTTGTGTTGTCAAAGATCTCCCCCAACCCCATTTAATATTCTTCTTCCGGCTAAGTAACATCAGCTTTCACACTGATGCCTTTAAAACAATAAACTAACTTTAGCTTAACTATACCTCACATGCATTGTCCTGTTTTTAAATGTGTTGCAAAAACCATGTTACCAGTTTGATTTTTAAAAATATTTGATAACTATATTTCAGTGTAATTGGTATTCTGTGTAATCCGGGTATTTTGTGTATTTAAAGACATCTACTCAGAGTACATGTAAAACTGGCAACATCTGCATAAGCTCTGTGAATTGTTTCAATGTCAGTTTCCTGGTTATGATATTGTACTAGAGTTATGCAAGACATTCCCATTGGAAGACACTGGCGGAAGGGTACACAGGACACTTTGGGGGGGCAGTTTCCTGTGAATCTACAGTTACTTCAAAAACTTCAGAGAAGGGGTCCCTGGGCTTTACCAGATTTCCACAGGAGTCCATGGCACAGGAAAGGTTAAGAAGCTGCCTAATGAGTGTTGTTTGCATTCATTTCTACTGTGTGAGCAAGTAAAGGATGCACATATCCACCTGGTGTGAACCCATGGAGCCCCAGTGCACGCTGGGAGTGCACCTGGACCATGCACTTGAGTACTCACTGGAATCTGATGGATCCCTCCTTCAGATAGTAGATGTCAAAGAGCCAGCGGAAAAAGACATCCAAACTAGAAGCAAGAACAAGGCAGGCCCTTTGGTTAATGAATTTATGAACTAAGGCCCAGGGTTCAATTCTTCTTGGACTGGCTTCCCTTGCCCACGCCCCGAAGACTCTTACACCCTAACATTCTAACTGGCCAGTCCACACTGCCTCTCTTCCTTCTTAACGTTGGGCCATCCTGCACCTGACCCTTGGGCCTTTCAGCTCAAGGCCACCTCGTTCAGCAAAATTTCACCAGCCATTTCTCCCACAGTGCTCTCTCCTTCTTCTGAACTTCTACTGCATGCTGGCTGCGTTTCCCCCAGCTTGGGCTTGCAGTTAGCTGGCAGGCATGACTTGTCACCCCAGCTCCATGATAAGCTCTTTGAGGGCAGAATTCATGGCACCTTAGAGTTAGCATGATACCTGGGACATGCTAGGCTCATGACAGGCACTGGACTGTCATTTGAGGGACGTATTTGCAGCAACCACAGATAGACCTACAGTATCCGAAAGAGGAGGTTCCAACTTCAGGGTGAGCCTGGCCAAGACAGGAGAAATAATTAGAGGTGAGGTACCTGGTCAGCCCCATAGAGGGCAGAATGACCACCATGAACACCAGGAAGATGTAGCACTTATACACTATGATCAGGTTCTGACTTGATCTGGAAGGAAACAAAGAGATTCATCAGGGAGTGAGGGGTGATACGAACCAAAAGCTTAACACTACAGAGTGAAGAGAGAGAGAGGCTGCTACCTGGCCTGGAAACGTGATTTAATAGTGCATCCCAGCACCATCTTTGTGGGGCACTGTGAGGTGTGCTATGACTGGGAGCAGCAGGAAAGAACAGCATGATCAGCTAGTGATGTCTGTCCTGGCACAGGAGGGGAGGCACATGTGCCACCATATACTTTACACTGTTAAAGGGACATTACCAATGATACTCAAAATCCCTTTAGAGCTTCAGTAATCAGCATAAGCGCTGTTCCTGGCCATAGGAGTGACCAGTAAGGATTTGTTAGAACAAACCTCCTGGCTTGTTGCTTGGTAGGATGGTAGGAACTTTAGGTGCAGGAAATATCTTTTGAGACCCACATAGCCTTCAGGCCAAAGCAGGTTCACCTGCCCCAGGATATAATAAATACATTCTATCCAATTAGCCACCGTAGAACTATTAGGGCTAACAAATGGGAAACAGTTCCTGATTGTTTAAAATGTGGGCACTGCTCTAACAGGTTTCGCTCAGTAGATAGAGCACTGGCCTATGGACTGAAGGGTCGCAGGTTTGATTTCGGCCAAGGGCACGTACCTAGGTTGCAGGCTTGATCCCTGGCCCCAGTCTCCAGTTGGGGAGCACACGGGAGGCAAGCAATCGATGTGTCTCTCTCACATCGATGTTTCTCTCTCTCTCTCTCTCTCTCTCTCTCCCCCTTCTACTTTCTCTGAAAAAGCAATGGAAAAATTATCCTTGAGTGAGGATTTAAAAAAAAAAAAAATTAAATGTGAGAACCGTGCCCAGCCAGTGTTGCTCAGCGGTTGAGCATCAACCTATGCACCAGGAGTTTCTGGGTTCAATTCCGGTCAGGGCACATGCCCCGGTTGTGGGCTTGATCCCCAGCATGGGGCGTGCAAGAGGCAGCCGATCAAGGTTGAGGTTGATGTTTCTCTTTCTTTCTCTCCCTTCTCCCTTCCTCTCTCTCTAAAAAATCAATAAAAACATATTTCTAAAAAAATGTGGGCACCATATGGGCCATATGGGTCCACAATAAGTTTGAATTCAGGGTCTCCTCTGCTCTGGCCATAGCAGCCTTCCCAACATTCTCCAAACAAGTCCTGCTCTCTTGGCCTCATCCTGTGCCCTCTGCCTGTGTCTCTGCCCACAGGTCCATTCCCTCGGTGCACAGCTGGAGGCTAAGGGAGCTGCCCAAGGACACCTGGTTTTGGTCTCACATCTCTTATATGGTGGCCCTGTCTCAGCATCCTGGACGCCAGAGGCCCAGAGACAATCCAGGCCCTACTTTTGGGATGGTTTCAGGTATCTAATTCCATTCCTTAGGCCAGATGGGAGGACAGAGCACTAGGCTGGAGGCTGGAGGGGGGGTGGCAGGGGAAGGACTGGGAAGAGCAGGTCTTGGAGAGGAGGCCCCAGCTCACCTGGTCCAGTGGGCCTCCAGGAAGGCAGAGAAGTAGACAATCAGAGGCATTATCACTGTAAAGGCCCAGAGCAGCAGGGAGGGGAAGAACTGGGTCAGGATCGGGCTCTGCAGGGGGGGAGCAGAGGAGGGAGAGAAACATCAGAGCAAGAAGGCCCCGTCCCCTTCTAAGCCATCTCTGCCTTCTCCCACACACCTGGCCTCTCCAGCTCAGCCCCAGAGCAGGCCTGGTGTCCCTGAGCTGCACAGTGGGCCTGGCCTTTCTCACCTGCCTTCCTGGCCAGGGGTCTGCCTGGTTTGGGGAGGGCAGAGGCTAACACCCCAAGGTCAAGTGGCATCCCCAAAGGGTATAGACCTTCTATCCTGAGGTTGCTGGAGGGGCAGAGTGGTCCAGAGCCAGCTGCTGTCACCCATGTCTCATACCTCAGGGAGATGACACTGTCTTTAACATGATGCTGTGTGAGAGTGGCAAAGAGGGGGAGGGTGTAAATAAAGAATCCTCAGGGAGAGCTGTGGAGCTCCTGCCTGGAGCCTATTGTGACAAAGGAAGGCGAAAGTGTGTGTGTGTGTGTGTGCGTGTTGCTGGAATAGGGATGAGGGTGATCTGGAAACAGGCCTTCTAGGGCTGTGATGCATGATGACAGCTTGGGGCTACAGAATCTGGAAAGGGCCAGTTTAGTTCCTCTGGATTTCCTATCAGTACAGAGCATCCTCTGACTTCAGGAATGGCTCAGCAGGCCCGGCACTCCCACCCTGAAGTGGGTGTGTCTAGAAGTGAGGGACCTAAGACAGATCTGGGGTCCTGCTTCTTCCAGACAGCTGCGTTCAACTTACCTCACTCTTCCCCACCCTCAACCCCATCTGTCAAACACGGACCCAGCTCTGGAGAACATGGGGAGAACAGAGCTGTCACACCTGCCATGCCCCCTGCTGCCACCAGCGGGCCTGGGTGGTGGATCTAAAGAAGCCCTCTGAATCCATGTTTGACTGGCCCACCCCTTACCAAAATCACCCCAGAACTTCTCTGCAGCTCCCCCACTCTCCCTTTGCTCCCCAGGCCCAGTTTCTAGGATGGGCAGCCACCAGCATTCATCTCCTTTAGAACAACGGAAACTCTAGGCCACCATTTACACCACTGCCACCTCCACCATGCTGGCCGGAGGGGCCTGTGCCCTGGAGCCATGGCCCCCTGGGCCCCCCATTCCATCTTCGTCTGAGTTCTTCCTTCACCGCCCGGGGTGCCCCACGCTGGCCTGAGCAGAGGAGGTACCTGCAGCTTCTCGATGGGGCGGGTGACGTTGTACATGTCGATGGTGTTGATGATGATGGCAGGAGTGGTGAGGAAGAAGAAGAAGAAGAAGAGGAAAGTGTTGATCGCGATGAAGCGGGCCCACCAATGGAAGTGGCGGATGGACAGGTGCTTCCTGGGGAGGGATGGGGCACAGAGGTGCAGTTAGGGCCCCAGGTCCCAGCCCTTAGACACAGCCCAAGTGTTGTTTCCTGCATCCAGCTGTGGACCCAGGCTGCCCTGGTCTAACTCAGCCCCTCAGACATAGACCTGCATGCGACTGGCCCTGGATCTTTCCCTCGATCACACCATTTGTAAAAGCTCTGAATGTATCGCATAGGTGAGCCAAAAAATAAAAATAAAAATAAATAGACGAGTTCTTTCTGCAGGAAAAACCTTTCTCCCAAGAGCTGGTACCTTCCACACTTTTGGTGGGGCGGGCTTGAGGGTGCTCAGGAGAGGACAAGGGAGGCCCAGTGGGGGCCGATTCCTTTCCCTGTTCTGTTACCCATTGCCTTCTGTAGTCTCAGAGGAGCTCAAAGGAGAGGGGACAGAGGGGGCTTACCAAATAATGTCTTTGGGGTGTGGGGCAAAGGAAACCCTCCAGCGGTAGGATTTGACGATGGTGCTCACTGAGGACTGGCGGGGGGACACACCACACTGGATGTACCTGTAATCCTCCAGGATGCTATAGAGACGGGGGAAGGAGAGAGAAGTCTGGAGTGAGGATGATGGGCTTGGGGGGTGTCTCATGTCAGGGTTCCACAGGTGGGGGCTCACACACTTCCTGGGGCCTCGTGAAGCCTTGGATATGTCTCCCAGGACCTTAGAGGTGGGCAGTTCCTGAGGTCTAGTTGCTGGAGGAAAGGGGTGTTAGAGGGGGGACCGCCCAGGAAGGGAGGGGACCACATGGTTCTCAGTTAATGCCTTGGCCCCTTAACAGCACTGACAACACAAGACACGCTCTTTCTCAGAGCTTGACAGGGGAGGCACTGATTGCACTCTCACCTAAATCAGTATCTACCAATCGTGGAGTTCTGTCTGTGTGCCCAACGCTGTGCCAGTTGGTGACCAACATAATCCCAACGGCACAGACTGCTAAAGTGAGGTGCCTGAAGATACACCAGGACCCCCATCTTCGGTCTTCCCATTCACACTTCTGCTGTAATTAACCTCACATCCTCTCTACTGAGTGACGCTGTCTCAGAAAATAAGCAGTTTTGTGTTGTGTAGGTATAGTGTTTTATAGAACACGCACGCTAATTAGAGGCTTCTTAAGCCTCTGGGAGGTGGACAGGGAAGATATAAGCAACCAAATTTGACAGAGAAGAAATCTGAGTGTAAGTGATTTGCAAAATTGCACACAGTTATTTGTGACTAAATTCCAGGTGATCCCATTGTTTCTTTGTTGGGCTGGGTAGGTGAGGACAGTGTTGTGCATGACCAGGTCCCTCAGGGGGAGGTGGTACCCCACGGTCCTCAAGAGACTGATTCTGGGGCTCTCGTCTATTTGATCCAGTCCTAAGGACTTAAGGATCCTTCCAGAACATTCCAGAGTGGACCTAATCCACTCCCTATCAAGATGGGGCTGCCAGAGGCTGGGCAGAGAGAGAGGAGGCTGTGAGGCTATGAGTGAGGGGAGGCCTGCAGCAGGAGAGAAGTGGCAAGCTGAGCTTCTCTACTCTGACTCTGTCACTTGTGAGGAGAGGAGTGACGAGTGATGAGGGAGAAAATGGATATCATTCTTGTCGTAGAAGAGGAACTGAGAGTCCAAAGGCTAGTCTGACCACCCCCATGCTGAAGCAAGGACATATGGGAGTGAGGGGTTCAGGGCCTGGTGTCTCGAGACAAGCTGAGCTGGCACCTGGGGGAAATGGGTATGGCCATGCGCTGGCAAGCCAGGTGGCACTGGGGGGGGGTCACGATATTGCAAACTGGAGGGAGGCTCTCTCCTTCCCTTGGCTGAGATGGGGTGAAGGAGGGTGGCTTGAGAGACACAGAGGCCCACTCCTCGGGCGGGGCTGGGCTCAGTGTAGCCCTGGCACTCACTGCGACGTCATCCTGGTGTCCTGGAAGGTAACGAAGATCAGGTCCAGACGTTTCAGCCGAACGCGGTTGAACTCGGCGTTGAACTCGTCGGTCAGCTGCTCCTCCAGCTCACTGTAGTATTGCTCTGCATCTACCTGGGGTGGGATGGGGCCCTCAGAGCTGGAGGGGCAGAGCTCCAGGAGGGCCTGGCCAGACATGGGGCCTCTCTGCACTCAGCACCCCGGGGGCAGTGGGTCTGAGGCCTCAGGTCCATCCCCAGCTCCTTTTGACACCCGGCTCAGGACCCCAGGTGGGTTCTAAGCACCCAACTCTAGAACAGGAAGAGGCTATGACTCTAAAACTAACTCCCTGCTCCTAGATCTGGGGATAGTGAGGCACAGCTGGGGTTAGGACTGCTTTTGGACATTGGTGGACCCTAGAGGAGTGAAAGGGTGTGTTTGCGGCATTTCCAGGAAAGGGGGATGATTCTCTCTCTGGACTAGAGCTCAGTGCTACCTTGAGGCAGGTGTTCGAGTCTTGAGGCTGCCTTCTAGCCACAGTGGGTGGGTGATAAGATGAAGCCCACTGCCTTCCACTGTTCCTGTCATATCTCTTTGAAAGCCCAAGGCCTGGCCAGCTACAGCAGCCTACTGTTTTCTCTCTGGTCCTCCCACCCAAGACTGGAAGTGGGCCAGAGCAAGCCTCCCTGGATCGCTCCTCTACATTCTCAGCAGGGAGGCAGGATTGGTGGGAAGGGATCAAGGAAGGTGATGCAGCACCAGAGCAGACCGGATGGGGCCTGGGGCCTGAGTGGGCAGGCAAGAGGCACTACCTGAGCCGTGGATGGAGCCCGGAGACCCAGTGCTTCAGTCCCTCCTCTGTTGTGTCCCTNTGGCTGAGATGGGGTGAAGGAGGGTGGCTTGAGAGACACAGAGGCCCACTCCTCGGGCGGGGCTGGGCTCAGTGTAGCCCTGGCACTCACTGCGACGTCATCCTGGTGTCCTGGAAGGTAACGAAGATCAGGTCCAGACGTTTCAGCCGAACGCGGTTGAACTCGGCGTTGAACTCGTCGGTCAGCTGCTCCTCCAGCTCACTGTAGTATTGCTCTGCATCTACCTGGGGTGGGATGGGGCCCTCAGAGCTGGAGGGGCAGAGCTCCAGGAGGGCCTGGCCAGACATGGGGCCTCTCTGCACTCAGCACCCCGGGGGCAGTGGGTCTGAGGCCTCAGGTCCATCCCCAGCTCCTTTTGACACCCGGCTCAGGACCCCAGGTGGGTTCTAAGCACCCAACTCTAGAACAGGAAGAGGCTATGACTCTAAAACTAACTCCCTGCTCCTAGATCTGGGGATAGTGAGGCACAGCTGGGGTTAGGACTGCTTTTGGACATTGGTGGACCCTAGAGGAGTGAAAGGGTGTGTTTGCGGCATTTCCAGGAAAGGGGGATGATTCTCTCTCTGGACTAGAGCTCAGTGCTACCTTGAGGCAGGTGTTCGAGTCTTGAGGCTGCCTTCTAGCCACAGTGGGTGGGTGATAAGATGAAGCCCACTGCCTTCCACTGTTCCTGTCATATCTCTTTGAAAGCCCAAGGCCTGGCCAGCTACAGCAGCCTACTGTTTTCTCTCTGGTCCTCCCACCCAAGACTGGAAGTGGGCCAGAGCAAGCCTCCCTGGATCGCTCCTCTACATTCTCAGCAGGGAGGCAGGATTGGTGGGAAGGGATCAAGGAAGGTGATGCAGCACCAGAGCAGACCGGATGGGGCCTGGGGCCTGAGTGGGCAGGCAAGAGGCACTACCTGAGCCGTGGATGGAGCCCGGAGACCCAGTGCTTCAGTCCCTCCTCTGTTGTGTCCCTGGAAACCTGCGCCACTTACCTCTTTGAAGCAGGTCCAGCACTTGCAAAAGCACACGCGCGAGCAGGGGTGGACCTTAATCATCACCTTCCCTTGTTTCTTGGCCTTGGCTGTGTAGTAGAGTCGGCCCCGCATCGCATGGCGCCTGTCAGTCCGCAGGTATGGGGGGCGGGGGGATCTTGTAGTCAGGGGCCAGCAGAGGTACATCCTCCCGTCCTACCCCCACCCCAGATCAGACAGGCCCCGCTGCAGCCTCACCTCTGATCGTCCAAGTCAATCAGGGTCCTGACATCATAGCAGAAGTGGACTCTGGTCACTACGCACCCTGGATAGGCCTCGCTGCAGCCACAAACATGGATGCTGAGCCAGCTGTGGGGCTGGGGATGTGCCACCCTACCCTGTGCCCAGAGCTACAGTCCACAGGGCTGGGTGGCTCAGCTGCCTGTGGTTCCTGGTTCTTGGGTGGAGAATCCAGCTCTTGCTCCTAAAGCCAAACTTCAGGGTTGATCCCTGGTAATCTGAGATTTGCTATATCCTTCCCAGATGACCCAGAACAGGGCCAAGGGGCAGAGCTGGGCATGGCTGCTCATGGAGAAGTCATTAGCTCCTGGGGCTGGGAACTTGGGTCATGGAAGACATTTCAAGATGACCTGCTTTAGGTGACTGCGGCCCAGGAGCTCCTCGGGCTCGTAGTTGGAGCCATGAGGGAAAAGGAAACTAGCTCTCCCCTGATGCCCATGCCATGCAGGGAACCCCAGGCTTTAGAAGCCCTGCTATGGCTCTAGGGCTCCCCCATTCTGAAAGGCTGATCTTTAGCCCAGTCCAGGGAGAGCCACCACCTGGGGTATCTCTCACCGCACCCTCCTGGGCCGACTCACTACCCACATAAGAATCCAGGCAGGGTTCCTGGCAGGAGGCAATCCATGCTCATTCCACCCAAACCACTTACTGGAAATGCTTTATGATGATTTCTGGGTCTTGGATATCTTTGGGGACATAGGTGATCATCAGTGTCCTTGTGACCTAGGTGGGGAGGGTAAATGAAGTAAGACTGTGCTCACATGGGACTCCTGGATGTCTGGGTCTTTGGAGGGGCCTGGCAGCATCTGGGGCAGGTATTCTACTAGCCACACCTGGCAGGTGGAAGCATTCGGGGTAATCTTTGAGGGGTATGTAGATTTGGGTTCTGAACTGAGGCAAAGTCAACCAGTTCATTAGGATGGGTGGCCTCAAAGGAGCTGATTCCACTCCACTGAACCTTCAAAAGGCTGAGGACAGGAGCCAGGGATGTTCCTCTTCACTGGTTCTCTTCCCCCAACCAAAGCCAGACAGCTCTCATGCCCCTTCCCTTGTGGGGCCTGCTCACAACCCCTGGGCACTCGTCTCACACCCCAAAGACGCCTGAGCTCTTCAAACACAGGGTCTCTGCCTGAGTCCCTTTACTGACCTTGGGAGCATGCCCAGCCCATGTGCAGAACAAGGAGTGGAGAAGAGTTAAAGCCCCCAGGCACAGCCTTCAGCCAGTGATGGAAAGGGAGTTGGTGGGAAAATGCCCCTGACTGCTCCCCACTAGCTTCAGAAACTCCAGGGCACACACTCTACTCCAATTCTCAGATCTCCCCATGGGATTAGGTGCCAGCTCCCACAGTGGTGAATTGCCCCTTACTGCCCCCTTATATCAGAGGTCTTCTCTCCCAGCCCCACTGCCCCACCCCCCCAGGTCCAGTGGTCCTTCCTGGGATCACCACTCAAATAAACCAATGCTACTCAAATCCTGTGTCAGGGCCTGCTTGGGAGATGGGGTGAAGGTAACCCAAACCAAGACAGTGGGGAGACACAGGGGCAGGACATGCGGTCTCTGACCCCAGGAAGATTCAGGAAGGCCAAGGAGCTTGGGTGTGGCTGAAGTGGACAAGGCAAGTGAAAATATTTACCCAATGGTTCAGCAGGGGGCACTGGCCACTTAGGATGCAGGACCCTGCGCGTCCAGGGGTTTCTTAACTTTTGAGTTTTTGGATGGTGAGTAGGTTCAGGGGTCCTTGGAGAGCGGACTGTCAGGGGTGCAGGGGTAGGAGACACCTAGGAGCAGCTATTTACCAACCAGTCTGGAAGTGATTCAGTGTTTTCACAATTGGGACGGCTGCGCAGGGGTGCCAGGTGCTGATTCACAGGGCCGAGGGGAGACTCCTCCCCATAGGTGTGCAGAATGCGCCCAGCTGGGAAGCCTCTGAGGGAAGCTAGGAGCGGAAAGGTCCAGCT